CAAACAGGCTCTGTGATATCAACTTATAAAAAACTAGGGGGGGGCAACCAGTTGACTGTAATAAACACAAAACGCAAACTCGTCCTTCCAACAGGGCGCACCAACATGAGTACTCGCACAAAAACATTCAGTTCTGACTTATATTAACGTTAAACGAACTATAGTAGCCTGACATACACACACCGAATGGACATAACAGCAAAGTCAATAATCACATAAACCTTTACCGAGTACGTCAGCACGCGCATTAACTTGGATAAACAATCTTACGCGAATACGGTCAGCCAAAACCGGACCGGACGGAAGTGAATCTCTAAGCCGTGCATCAAGGCACGCAACCATTGCGCAAATGTCCTTATTTATGATACTCTACCTTCATAAGACTAAACCATACAACGGCGAGGCACCCATCTAATACCTATCGCCAAATAATTTATAAGTATTGCTAAAGGAGTTGTTGTATAGAGAATTTTAAGCAAAAAGCAGACGAAAGGGAACTTGTTTACTGAAATTCGAAACCAGTATACGGAAGGCTGCAAAACATAAATTCGATTAGGTTACGAAAGCCAATGAAAAATTAGAGCGAAAAGGAGCACGGAATTTCGACCCCAATCCTACCAACCAATGATTTAACCAAGCCACAAAGAAGTGGGGGGATAGGCAAGCAAACAGACACCCTAGCAGAGGAGTAATTAGGGAAAACGAACGTGGGGAGTCGACGGCCAGCACACAAACAGATGACCAGGGTAGTTGGGAGACGGGGACAAGGCGCTATCTCTATTTACAAGTAAATTTTGGAGGAAGAGAGAAGATGGGGGGAGGGACAAACCAAGATGGTGCTCGCATCCGAAGGTAGTACGGAAACACAACACGGAAGAGACGAATACGTCTGCTCTTACAAAAATTGGGGAATGCAGAAACGCGAGTACAGAATCAGAGAGCGACAGTCTCTTTGCACTGCGGTACAAAAATCACAGAAACCACTTAGGCAGTAGCCGATAAGGGAATCTAGTCATTTGAAATAAAAAGGCGAAAGGTTGAAGAACAATACAGTGAACTTAAAGTGTCAGAGACGGACAACGATTTAACCGAGAGCGAATCGGCTTCTGTTAGAGCAGGGGTAAAAAGAGGTTCATTCAACACCAGTGTCAACTAATATAAGCCTAGTGTGTGCCATAGCAATGACCGCTTGGAGGATTCAGTCGTCCATTCTTCATGGACTATTATTTGCCTATTTCAGAGCAGCAGACCCTCAAAATGACGGTTAGGACAGGACACAAGGAAAGAGAGGATTTAGTGTGATGAAACACTTTGAAGAGAAAGTATTAAGCGGAGGTCAGGGCAGGTGGATAAAACGGTGGAAAGCAAGGAGCGCTGTTGAATGGAATCGCGATGTAGAGGAGAGAAAGCAAAGCAAAGAGGCCATCAGCGAAAATGCAGATCAAGTCGGATGGGGCCATCCGTGTGGTGCATTTTTGACCAGCGAGACGCGGGAAACACGCAAATCAGCTGCCGCCTTTCTTCTCCTTCGCCTTCGATTTGCGCGGAAATGAAAGAAGCTTAAATCGGCGCTTCTTTTTTACCTTTTTCTAAAAGAGAAGAATTGAAGTAGACGTTTATATAATTTATTTGATTACCTAACCAACTGTTAAACCTCAGCCGGGAAGACAGACAAAGGAGAAAGAAATTATGGGAGCTTGCCAAGTCGACAATAAGAAGGAACCTTGAGCTACTATGTAGCAATAATAGTAGTCGTAGTAGAACTACAGGAGTACTAACTACTGTGAGAGCAAGATTGATATCAAAAAATTCGGAAAAAAAAGCATCTACATTAGTCATCACTGAGAAGCTTAATATAATGGGTCCATCTCTCATTGGATACGATGGGCAAGTCCGGTGGTAGCCAACCGGAGAGTACAAAAAGCACTGAAATCTCTGCTTCATGCGTGCCCCGCACTTGGATGACCCGGTCTAACACCGCATTACTTCCCGCTTTAAGAAACCACATACTTCGTTTACTATAATTTCAAGATTAATTGGATTAGACTACAGGATATTAACCTGCACGCACAGATTTTTGTTCTTAGCCGTCGATAACCATTAATGAACAGAATTCAAACATGTGAAATTTGCAGCAGGAGCAATAAATAGCACGGAAGGTAGTCAGAGGACTGTAGAGAAATTAGAATTGGTGCATCCTTTTGCCTCCGCATGTACCAAGCTCGCTTTCTATCAAAGGTTAATGAGGTGTCTGTTCCTGGACAGGATCAGGAATAAGCATCAATGCCGCGCAACACATTCACGCGCAAATAGAGCTAGAATGGTGCCCCTGGGTATGTGTACTTACCAAACAGTGCGCGAAGTTGTTACGAAGCAATAATTAATGCTCCCTAGAGACCCCAACGGTCTTACAGACAAGTGATTGGTAGGCGCAGGTCACTTCACCAGTCAATGGGTAAGCATTAAAATATAAAGGATAGCAAGGGCAAACGCACATCGCTCACGGCGGACTCCTCAACTTCGCTTGCTTCCGAGGTGATTCCACCAGCGGTCGCTGGAGGAGACAATCGAGGCTCTAGAGTTATAAAAAAAGAGAAACCGGTTCGAATGGGCGAGGAGACAAAACTGACAATATATAAAACGGTTCGGAAAGGGATGAAGTTAGAAAAGCATTCGAGCTACCTAAATAAGCGGAAGAGATGGCTCAACCACACGATTATAGCATCCTTGAATTCGCCATAGCTGTCAACAACAAACGACCGTCTGCCTTGTTGACTTCGCAGCTGCGTTCCACTCCGTCCATCGTGAATCCCTATGGTGAATAATGGCACTAGATGGTGTACCACCACAAATCATCGCCGTGGTCAAAGCACCACTGGGCGGGTTCTAGTGCATAACATCCTTTTAGAATTGTTCGCTATTCGGTCTGGCGCTCGACAAGACTGTTTCCAGTCGCCCATTCTTTTCAACTACGTCAGTAACTGGATTCTTGGGAAGGCCCTACGTGAAGAGGACGATGTTGAGCTTTGAGTGGAGTGTACTGACTGCATCTCAAATAAGACAGTCCGCACTTGCTGCGACAGTATCGGGAGGATATCTCAGGGCATCCAAGAAATACGTCTAAGATGACATAGTCATGTTCTGCGTCGTCCGCCCCAAGAGCTTTGCTACGCTGCCCTCGATCCGGCGCGGCAGCCCATCTGGAGGCGTCGAAGGGGAAAGCAACTCAAGATTTGGCTCGACACCGTTCGTCAAGGCATGGAAACGATCCTTTGACCTTCGATTTTCGTTTTCCGTTGTTGGAGAAGACAGGAGGTGGAGTTTTCCAGGTACGCTGCCGCCAGTCGTCAGGCGTGGAGAGGTGCCGTCCGTAACTTTACTTAGGCCAACAACATCAGGCATGATCACAGCCGTATCAAGAACGATTAAGTTATAACAGACGATCTCGCTGTGTATCTTAAGTCTGTATATCGATAGAAACCCAATTGGTAAGAGTATTGATTAAACGACAACGCTTGATAAAACAAGGTGAAGTGACATGAATTCGTCTTACCGCCAAGTGGCGACGTGCGCTGTGCTCATCAAACCTTCGAGGAGGCACGAGTGAGAGCTAGCCACTGGGTGGAGTTCGAGTGGACTGACCACCAAGTGCAGCTAGGTAAGAGCGTAAATGACTCACAAATTACTCACCCCCCTCCAGGCCATCTTAAATATCTCAAACGGATGAGTAAGGGCCAATGAGAAAAAACTGGGATAAAATACGCATGCTTGGTAATGGTGATGCGCAAAGATACTACGACACCTGAACCAACTAGAAGAACCGACGCCTACACCTATCGGGCGTTTGCAAGAGCCGCACCACACTAGTTGTTCCTTATTTGAGGCCAAAGGAAAATCCCGCTTAGTAAATAAGTGACAATCTTTGGAGGGACCTCGATATTAATGCTGAAAGGACAAACGGATATAACCGGAAGTAGCAGCAACATCTATAAATCACCACAATCAAGGTAGGGACTACCGCAATTCTTGGTATTTAAACACTGGTAGGTAGGCAGCGCGTTGATTAATTTTAAGGAAAAAATGTCTGTGGACAGTCGATACTGCATAAAGGTCAC